ACACATTTATTCACTGGGGTCTCTAACCTGCAAGGTACCGGGGGCAAAACGCAACATCTTGCAAGAAACAGCGTCTGAGGGCTTCTTAACATTTAACAAACTATGAATGTGTGTCTTCCCGTTCATACCCACTTAACGGGAAGAAACTCAGCTAACTGACGATATGAACCATTTTTAGCAAAACGAAACACAAGGGTAATACCTAGGGATGCTCCGATCAATCGGTCACCGATCGAGATCGGCCGATACTCACTCTCTACCGATTGATCGGTGCTCTCTGAACATGCCGATCGCGAGAGCCGATCGCATGACGTAAAATACATGACACTTTTCTCTGTGTGCGACAAAACAAGCTCGCCAAAATGGCTTCACCGGTCTGGCATTATTTTAAGGTGTCCGAAAAAGACAGTAAAATAGCGGTATGCAACGTGTGTGAAGCAGAAATCCTGCCGCTCCGCCCGCCGGACCGGTAAGCGGAGCGAAACACACAAGAGTTGGACCTAACACACTTAGCTTTTTTATCTACCTCTGGAACAAGCTACACTAGTTATTATAAATATATTTATTCTTCACTGTCGGGTCGCTCATTACTGGATCAGTGAGCTGCATGAGATACTGACAGGCTGTCAGGAGAGGGAGAGAGGGGGGAGAGGGGGGAGAGAGGAAAAGAGAGCGCTTCCGCTAATTTCTCCCGTGTTATTATCCAAAGTGAATGTAAACTTGAATAATGTACATTATTTGAATGTAATAATTAAGTTGATTGTTGTTCGTGGAAGCTCCAGTGAATGAGCCCCATTAACTGAGTTTTAAACATCACTTTAAATGGAAGATTTAAAGTGATGTTTAAATCTTCCATTTAGGCCCCGCCCACTCGATCGGATCGGCGATCGGCCGTTACTGATTCCGGCGATCGGCCCCGAAATTGGCGATCGGAGCATCCCTAGTAATACCAAGCCCTGAGCGAAACAATTCTAATGCACTTAGCACAGAACTCACGGTAGAAATACTTTATTACTTATCGGATCTGCACAAACAAGATATCAGATTAAAGCTGAGATTCCACAGATTCTAGAGGTATACGTATCATCACTGTGACAAAACTCAGGCATCAAAGGCGAAACCAGACATCACACGACGTAGCTTTACGGAGCCAAAACGGAAAATATGTCTTACCTTTGCTGTTTTTCTGATCAAAAGTTGTGTTCAATGGCATTAAAACGATAAAAACGCTGCTGAAGGTTAATCCAATGTGTCTGTGTCACTTTGAAATGTTTATTGATAATCCATCATTCAATGTTTGTCTGCTATTAGCTGATATGATAGCTATGATAGCTACAACCCAGCTTCCGGTTTTGGGCAAACTGCGTGCGCATCACTCTCCCTCCTCAATGGCAATGTTTAGATGGATTTTAGGAACTTCCCCTCGATTCTATTGGCTCTAACGGTTAAAAAGAGGTGTCAATCATCAAAATCGACCCAGGGTGGCCAGAGATATGGCAAATCCACCCAAATGCCACAGCCATATGCCATACATTTTTGCATACATTCACAGTAAATATTTATTCAGTATGATAGCTGTCTAACAGAAGTTAAATTAATTTCTCCCTTATTCTGACAATGTACTTAACCCCAAATAAAAGAACCCAATAAAAAGAGTTGGAAGTCACGTTGTAATAACAATAACTCATCTCTCTCGAGTTTTATTTTTCAGCTTTGCCAAAAGCCACTGTGTCAAGTGTCCTTCTTGGGTTGCCGTCCGGAGTTCTCCAATATGGCGGACCATCTCGCACATGCGCAGTACAGATCGGGCAGGGGGACGGATCGGGTAGTGACAACGTTAAATGAATCGAATGCGTGTAAACGGAAGACTTTTTTGCAGTAGTCAATGTGGGAGGTGATGAAGGCATGGACCAGTTTTTCTGCATCCGGTTTGGTGAGGGAGTGTTGCATTTTGGAGATGTTTCTCAGGTGGTAGCAAGCCCCCAGGAAGTGCGCCGGACTCAGATGAAAATATTCGTGGTGGCCAAACGGCGGTACTACACTTCCGTTTGGTTGCCAGGCCCGGAAACACTTTTTCCCATTGACTTACATGGGGAAAGAGTGGTCTGTAAATCGTTGGATACTTTTTTTTAAACTAAATAAACAACCCAGTATGAACACTTATTAAAAACATTCGTTCCTCAAGTTGTAAAATGTGCTAATAACGTTATTCTGAGAGTTATTTCCCTCTGCATTATGAACGCGCATCTAACCCACGGGACCGCGCCCCCCGGCACGTTCATGCTACGTGTTCAGCACTACATGCGTTTATCTTTACCCACGGATGCACAATAAGAACGGACCCATATCGCCTTACTTGGCAGGGAAACGGGGTTCAGGGGGAGTGGCTGTACGGCTGTACCCGTAGGATAGAAAAGGGGGAAGTGACGTCTGACTCAGAGGTCGCGCGGCTGTGGAGAAGAACGTGTTGCCCACATTCTGTTACTGAGTTTAGGCTAGTTAGCTAGCTGGTTTATTGTTTTGGGTGCAGTCAGTTTTGCCTCCACTTGCTGTTCAAATAAATGTTGAAAGAAAAAGTAAATCTGTTTCCAGTTCTGTTTTATATGGGTGATGAAGAAGAAGAAGAAGAAGAAGAAGAATTGGGAGGGATGAAACCCTCTTTAATGGTCACACATGCAGAGCACACAGCACACACAGTGAAATGTGTTCTCTGCTTTTAACCCATCCTAGTACCAGGAGTCTAGTACTAGGAGCAGTGGGCAACTATTGCACAGCGCCCAGGGAGCAATGGGAGTGAGGGGGGAAGGGGGATGTCCGGTGCCTTGCTCAAGGGCACCACGGCAGGGCAGGAGGTGAACTGGGACCTCCCCAAGTAGAAGTCCACACTCCAAATGTAGGTCTGGTCGGGGACTTGAACCGGCGACCCTACGGCTCACAGTCCAAGCCCCTACTGACTGCCATAGATTTAGTCCCTCATTTTGCTCTCAAAGTGCACCAGATTGATGCATTTAACTTCAACATTTAAAAAAAAATCTTCCCGGGGGAGCATGCTCCCGGACCCCCCTAGAGGAGGTGAGGTCCACCACCTGCCCACACCCCCCGGTTAAATTGTCTCACCCACATTGAGGATGCTTCCTACGCCCAAGTTTTATTCCATGTGTCAAGTCAGGCAAATTGGGTCAAAAATGTTATTGCATCAATGATCTGTTAACATTAAAATCACTAAATATATGCTGTAACTATTTTGCTCTAGGCAACTCAAGGGCTCAGGTAATGTGATGACTATATGAATAATGGTCCAAAATAACATTAAATGCATAGGGTTTTTTGTTAAGTAACATACTTTCGTCGCCGGCCGGCCGATACATGCCGCGCATTAAGTGGGCCTGTCTGTTAATTAATACCCGGGCCACTTTTTCCCCCCAGTCCGCCCCTGTGTATATATATATATATATACAGTGCAATAATTATTTCATGCTAAATGAAGCTCTGTTGCTTGGATATCACTAGATCCTGTTACAGCGTAATATAAGTACATAACGATTGATGTGTACATTAGCATAATTACTAGCTAGCCGCTAGTTGCTAACTGCTGCCTCGTTAATATAAATCCATCATAATAACATCCATTACCATGCTGTCATGAACGCGCGGTGCTGTTACGTGTATGCAAATTGACGTGCTTGATGTGAACGAGCATTTTGGTTAAAGTTGCGCATGCGCTATGAGCGCACATACGGGTACTTCTCAGGCATGCCGGGTAATCTGTGACGTTTCACTCTCTCAAAAGTTGGGCCATTTTATCATCATGCGCTAATGAGCAACTCTCATAGTAATGAATGAGGCCCCGCCTCCCACGCTGTATCCAGTTCTTATTATACATCCATGGGTGGTAGTATGAGGCTTGGCAGACCGTCTTTATGTGTGCTTGGAATGAAAGGGATGAGTCCAGTTTCACACCAAGGCTCGTTACAAGTGGGAAGAGGGGAATGGAGTGGCCATTGATGCTGATATGAGGGATATCAGTTGTTTGTGTTTGATGTGGTGTTCCAATCAGAATGGCCTCTGATTTGCTCTTAAAAGCATTTGAAGTCATTAACACACTATGTTTGTGTTTGTTGATTAGGTAAATTCAAAAGATAAGCAAGTTAACGTACATAACGTAACGTTTTTTTAATTGGCAGCACATTGTTGTACAGTATCTATAGAGGACAAAACCAAATTAGGGATTGTGAATAAACAAATAAGTAACTCAATAATTTATTAAAAATGTATGATAGAGCAGGACATAAATGATTTATTTATTTGTATTTATTTCTACATTAACATTGATTTAACCCTCTGTTTCTTTCTCCATGCTGTTGTTATAAAGTTGGATACTGAAAATAACGCAATCTTGAAAAACTGCTTCTTAGTAGCAATGTGATAACTGTATAGCATTTTTTTTAAACACACATACACACATACGCTTCTCTTTTTAAATACATTCTTACGCGCTTTTAGCCAATGTACTCTATAAAAACTCAAAAGGTTTCAGAGACGCACGCAGGTATAGTATCAGCACCTGGTGTGGTCATCTCCATTATGCTTCTTTGTTCATTCAGCAAACAGTGACAGTACATGATATCTGTCGATGTAATCGTATACCTAATGTTTTGTTTTTCATTCTGCGCATTCCTGTGCTGCGATAAGAGCTCTCACTGTCTCTGCTGTGCTGTTTGATGTAGAGAGGGCAAGGGGGGACATGTGTTGGGGTTTTTACATTTTGTGGGTCAGAACTTGGGTTAGGAGACATAAAAAACGGTGGTATCGTCTGCGTAATGTTGAGAGCACTGCTGAAATGTCTAAGGAGACCCTCTCTATGTATACATCTCTATCATATATTTTGGTGTATCTTTCAAAGGACAATAACGTGCTGGTTATTTACAATGAAAATGATTTATTTTCACAACAAATGTACCCCCTTCAGACACTTAAACAGGACTCTTTCTCTGTTGTAGGACCTACAGTCTGAAGAAGGGACAGCTGGAGAGGGACTATGCACAGGTAAGGATGGCTGGACTCTTGCTGAATATGTGAAACAAGTATCAGTACATCAGTCTAATACATCTTCTGAAGCCTTTAAAGGTTGTTCATTAATGTGAGCAGTGCACTTATTATTTTCTGCACAACTTTATTATTCAAAGCCTCGTTGTTCTCTTATTTCATTCAATTTTATTTTAATATCTGATTAAATGGTAATCAGAGTCAATTCAATGTATTGCTTTACCACCCTGCCAATTACTTTTTAACATCTATTCATATGGTGCATGGTAACAATTGGTGAAAGTGTCTTCTTTAGTTAACAATAGGTTCTGGGTTTGAATCCCATCGGTTTTTACCTTCAGTACAAATCTTGAATCAAAACATAAAACAGGATATCTCCTGTGTTGGATTTGGTACTGGAACGTTTAAAATCTGGAATACTAGCATGCTAAACTGAACTCAAGTTAAAGGATGTTCTTCATCAAACAATGCCAAACTGATATTTGCTGGGTCAAACTCGTTAAATGTGATAATATGCTGCTTTTTTTGTTATAAAATCACACATTGATTTAGTAATATGTTTTCCCAATACATATAACCACTATTATTATATATTTAATAAATTGTTTTAGTACTGTTTTTTTGGCTTAGCTGGTAAAAGTGCCTGTTTAGTAAACAGGTTATCCTGCTCTTAACTCCCAGCAGTGCCTTTTCTACAGTTGAGATTGTTAATCAGGAGTATGTGAAGTGCTGCCCAATCGCGAAAACAGCACAGTGTTGTATCTATAGAGGACAAAAACCACTCACAGTATCGATCAATATATTTAATAAATGTACAAATGAATACAGTAATAATATATATGTTTTATTATTGATGGACATGCTTTTATTTGATAATGGAGAGAGATAGGACATGTTGGTGAAGAGAGCAGGAGAATGACTTGCAAAAAACATTTGACGTAGCCGGGGATAAAACATATATACTAGGGATGCACGATATTGGTTTTTTGAAACCGATACCGATAACTTCCTGCTTCTCAAGACCGATACCGATAACCTTTAATAAAAAAAAATGTACGCCACTAATTATTTTAACGCGATTAACGCATGTGTATTTTTTTTCCTCGGCCGCCCCGTAGTTTCAGAGCGCATCGAGTTTAAAATACCATCTACAAGCTGATGCTGACAGCCCCGCTCCTGTCGCCCGCTTGTGGCAGACCACACTTCCACGCTCACCGGCAGGCACCGACTGGCCATCTGGAGGACCGGGAGGGTGTGTGTATGTGTGGCCCGAGCGAGCGAGAGAGAGACCTTACGTGCATTGTTGTTGTTAGCATCTGGTGCTAGCTAGCTGCGCTAACGGATATACGGAGCTGTTTAAATGAAAACAGAGGAGTGACATTTTGCCACAACTGCGCCGAGCACTTGACTTTATGCAGGAAGCCAGACAGTGGGACATTGTACGAAAAGTCAGCACACTCAGCACGGATAGTGCGCAACATGATTGCAGCGTCCAGGCAGCTCCGGTTCGAGCATATGCCTTGAGTTGCACATAGCTCCAACGCCCATACCACCGACGACATGTTTGTTTACTGTCCTGGCTTCACGGCCGCACACCATTTACGTCACAGCCAGGCATGAGTTAGGGAGCGCTGGATTTGTGAAAAACTCCCCTCTTCCTAAACCACTAATACCACAGTACTGGCAAAACGGGAGGAGCCGAGTGAAAAACAAGCGCCCCTCATCCCAATCCACCCACACCGCAGTATCTTTTTCTTTTTTTTTACCCCAAAAATATATTGTATATTATCGGGGCTATTAATACTGGTATCGGGTTTATCGGGATGACGTCATAATTCCTAATATCGGACCAATAATTATCGGGCCGATAATTTTCGTGCATCCCTAATATATACGTTTTTTTGGAGAATAGATACATTATTGCAAGACATTATTATCAAAAGAAAAGGTAATCTCTCAGAATAAGATCAGATTTGAAGCTCCAAAACTGTGATTTAACTCAATTGTCCTTTATATAGTCATTTAACCTGTTAGGCCCGGTGCCCTCCCGCCGGCAACATTTGCATGAAACAGCGTCTGAGGGCCATTTACCATTTAACAAACTATGAATGTGTCATACCCACTTAACGGGAAGAAACTCAGCTACCTGACGATGTCAATCATTTTTACCGAAATAAAACACAAGTCTAACGCCGAGCCTCTGAGTTAGCACTAAGCAAAAGAGTGCTAACGCACTTAGCACATAACTCACGGTAGAAATATGTTATACTTCATCGGATCTGCACAAACTAGATATCATATGAAAGCTGAGATTCCACAGATTCCAATGGTATAATCATCACTGTGCGACCAAAACCCGCGGCAGCAAAGGCAAAACCCCTAACCCAAAGACAACACACAACTTCTCTTTACGTAGCCAAAACGGCAAATACGTCTTACCTTTGCTGTTTTCTGATCAAAGGTTGTGTTCAATGGCATTAAAACACATAACAACGCTGCTGAAGGTTAATCCAATGTCTCTGTGTCACTTTGAAATGATTACTGATAATCCATCATAACATTTTGTCAATAAGAGTAGTTTTCATATAGAGTATATGAGAGCTGTAACCCAGCTTCCGGTTTTGGGCATGCTGGCTGCGCATCACTCTCATTCACCAATGGTAATGTTTAGATGGATTTAGGAACTTCCCTCTCGATTCTATTGGCTCTATCGGTTAAAAAGAGGTGTCAATCATCAAAATCGACCGATGGGTTCCAGAGATATGGAAAATGCACCCAAATGACCCCAGAAGTGTTTTTTTTTCTAAACCTCTCTAAAAAGGTAAGATTTAACTTGTTTTGCATCAATCTTGATACAGGATACTTATTATATGTTATATTTTGGATTCCTAAAGCTTTTAGTCTACCATCCCATCATTCAAGGGTGGTTTTCATAAGCAATGGGTTTTTCTTTGGACGGAAACTATAATTTACATTTTTTTACGATGTTCAATCTGAATTTACTTTAAAATAAAAACATCTATATTGATTCTGACTCTTCTACATCCAACTCACAGCTGTATCATTGCTTTGAGAAAAAACATTATTAATGTACCCCTTTTAGAAGTGAAGATAGTCATTTGTTCTGGGAATGTCATTTTCGAGCCTGAGACCTGAAAAACAGGCTCAAGGCTTAACAGGTTGAGTAAAAAAAAAATACGATTATGGTGATTGAATTCAATAAATGTTTTAATGAAACTGTTTCTGAAGTTTGCAAAGAGGAACAGATCACTCAGTACCTTCATTCATCTGTAAAACCACAATTTCCATTTACAGGTGCACTACTTGTGGTTTCTGCTCATCTTTGACTTATTGTTGAAATGCATAAGAATGCACACATGTGAGGCAGGCAGCATTTTGTTTCACTTCCCGTGTTCCTGTTTGGCTCTTTGCAGATGTTTCAAATTGATAAAATGCTGCATAGTAATCAAGAATCTTGTGAATTGCAGACAGCGAAGGGTTTTGCATGCAAATAAGCCCCATATACACTCAGCAATAGACGGTTACTGCTTTGTATTTTTGCAACTTGCATTTCTACCTAGAAAGCAGCCCTAAATGAACGTTGAGTTCTCAGTAGACTTCTATAAAAGGCAGGATTTCAATCTCAGAAATACTCCCACTACCAAACCAACAGAGGGTCTCTCTTTGAGTCCAAACAGTTAGCACAAACAATTCCTATTTTTCTTCCTGAGTTTAAGGTCAAAACTATCTAGTACTCATTTATACACTGTCACATTTTCATACATACAAGTTGAATGCTTTGGCAATACTATGTTTAAAATGTGGTCATACCAATAAAGCCCCTTTGTATTGTATTGTATTGATCAATCAGATAATCGAGAAGAGGAAAACAGATGAATTGGCAATGAGAACAATTAGTTGTGGCTCTATTTACATCTTCTGCTGGTCTAACAAAGGAGAGAGTTGCCTGTCTATTGTCAGATTATATATTCTGAGTGAAATTGAATCATCAATAAGATAATGTTTGTTGTAACAGAGCTTTAGATCCCTTGACATTGAGAATACATTCTAGATAAAACGAAGGCTGTATCATCAGCTATATCATCAGTATGCAGACTTGAGGGGAGACATTAGCAAGTGTCTATATTTCTAAATATAGTGGGAAAAAAATGACTGCATTCTTACCATGAGATTATTTTTACCCAGTAGACTGCCACTCTAGTGAGCCGCATATTTTTAAGAAGGCACAGAACCAAAATAAATTTCCAGCAGACGGCTGCGTCAGCATACTCAGTAAGCATTAGTATGTAGCAACCAAGTCGTGCCTGCCGACAGCAGCGGGAACGATTTTCTGATTTTTATTGTACTTGCTGTTTAGCTTAAGCTCTCCTCACATGAACACGCCCACATTTGTACAGACACTGTGAAATGCACTCAGCTGCAAAATCCTCCTGAAAAACCTTTGAATACATTACAGACCCAGCTCTTAACTACATATTAACATACAAATATGCACTCTATGTACTGTATCAGTACACACAAACACTCTTATTATGTAGCCCTAATGTCCTCATATGAGGGTATGCAATGGAGAGAGTGAAGAAGATGTGCAGAGAGAGGAGAAAAGTGTTTGAGCATGTGTCTTCATTTGCATGTGTTTTGAATGATCAGGTTTCCTGTGGTCGACCCCTCTGGTTTCAGACACTCATTATCTACCCCGCCCCTCCCTCACTCCATCAAGCTTCCTCTCCATCTCCCACTATTCTCCCTGAGCACTGTCTCGTTCACCTTAGAAATAGAGGTTGCCTAGCAATCCAATCCACTTTATTTATATAGCAAATATTAAAAACAGAGGGTTTACCGAAGTGCTTCACAGCCACATAGCATTATAATAAAATATAATATTACAATAATAGATAAAAGGCACACATAAGAATAGATAAAAGGCATACATAAGAATAGATAAAAGGCACATATGGGCTATGGACAGACAAATAAAAGCATACAAATCGATAAAACATAGCTCAAACTGACTCGAAAGCGAGGGAAAAGAGGTGGGTCTTCAGGTGGGACTTAAAAGTTTGAAGGGTGGGCGACAATTTGACATGGGGGAGCAGGTCGTTC